TCGTAGAAATAGTGAGAGATTGAAAATGTGTGCTGACTTTAAAACTAAATCTCAATATAAGGTCCGCAGAGATATTTCGAAATGGGTATTCAACTGTTTGAAAAATTCCGTATTAGACTAGCATAAATTAAGGTTATGTGACTACTAGCATCATCACCAACAACATCAGATGAAATTTGTACTACCTTAAAAATTTTATGAATTTGTGCAACAGCTATAGATATTCTATAAATATATGTTGAAGTGGTTCATTCCCATATAATTAAGCAAGAATGCTAATATTCATTTAATTCAGAAAAAAAAAATTTCAGCGAAATATATAATTCAAATATATTGTCACTATATCATTTGACTTTTTGCTTTAGATATCTATTAGAAACACTGGTTGGATTAGCTTCCACGACGTCACTTACAATTACAACGTTTTGTACTCCAATAGATTTTTCCCTGTTCAATGAAACACTTCAGTTTGAAAGTAATGAAAAAAAAATATTTTAGCTTCTGAAAATAGATAAATAAATGCATTTGAAACAAGTAATAAATTAGCTAAAGATCAATCAAGGTAAAAGGAAAATTTTTTTTTTAAATAAATGACAAACAAGATAGATTTATTATGAAGGGTATACATTCTATGATAGATCACCATTTTCGACTAGTCTTCCATATTATGGGCATATATTTAGCTGGAACAATTAAAGATATAGTTATTCGATGGGCTTACCAAACAGGACATTATGTTAAATGTCGATTTACTTGGAGTAGCATAAATTTTTTTTTGAATATACACAAATATAAATCTTGTATTTATTAGATTGTCATGAATTACCTGTGATATGATCTATTCTTCAATTATTTTCGTATATGGATAGTGTTAAATGGGAATATGAAATCGATAAAACATTTTATATTGAAAATTCCGAAGATATAGTCAAAATGCATATTACAACTTCTAATGATGATTGTAGAAAAATTGTTATTTAACATGCTCAAGAACGAAAAGTATGCACAGTTTCTCTATATCATTATCAAATAATAAAAGTAAAAATAATTTAGGAATCAGTTTGCTTTGTATTTAAAAGATTATATGAAAAAAGGTTTTGTACATTGTGGATATAAAGTATGAATAAAGAAATTATTAAAAGTTTTAAAAATAAAACTTTTTTCTAAAGATAATGCCTTATTCAATGGATTATTGTGCTTTATTATCGAATTTTGAAGCTGATCAAAATTATAGAAGCATAGATAATCTAACTGTTGGTATTATTAAGTCGGCTGACTGCACGTAGTGCAGTTTGCCGACTTATTGCTTTTCACTAGCTTAGTTGCCATGGCAAATTCTTCTTCTTCTTCTTCTTCTTCATCCGCTGACTGCACGAGCCC